CTTTTAGAAGTGAGGGTATATGAACATTCTGTTCTGTTTAAATTATTATGCTTCAGAAGCTTTTAGAAGTGAGGGTATATGAACATTCTGTCCTGTAGAATGTCAAAATGTAGCTGTTACAGTCTTCTTTTAAACAGTTTTAACAAACAGGGGCAGCATGACCATTTCTCCAGAATAGTTGCTTCACAGCTGTTTTCACACAGCTGCACCAAACAGACCATTTCTCCAAAATAGCTACTTCACAGCTGTTTTCACACAGCTGCACCAAACAGACAGTCAGTTTCCCCCCCGCAGCTTTCCACGGCTGCAACTGAAAAGCTGGGAAGCTACAACTGCGCCAAACAAAGCCTAACAATACCCCTTCAGTTTTGCCTCCGTGTTCAAATGATGACATTATTGCTTAAGTCTATTGACATTTCATTAAAATAGTAAGCAAATCAATTAGAAAAAATGGAACATTGCAAGCCAATGTGAAATTCAGTTAGGAGCAATCAATAAAATTATAAATAAATTTCATATATGCTGTATCTTCATGAATAATGTAAAAATATGTAAAGTAAAGCTTTTAATCATTTAAGAATAAATACCTGCATGTAGAAACGAATATCATGACAGATCTAATGCCCATATCCTCCATTTTTGACAGTACATGGATGAGATAGACCTCCTTCACATTCCTAGGAATAAAGATGTATTGTTGTTTGAGAGATTCAACTGTTTTAAAACCTTCATATGCCTCAAAAAAGTATGATCTATTTGCAGATATCTCAAGCAACGCTTGCAGCTCACTTGTCATGGTTGCAGAAAATAAAAGAGTCTGCCGACTTGTAGGCAAATACTTAAAAATTAGCCTTAGTTCCTCCTCAAAACCAACATCCAAAACTCTATCCGCCTCATCCAGAACGAGAAACTGATGAAGAAAATGTACCGGATAGTTAGAAAATCACAATATTGCATTCAACCCTTCAAAGTATAAATACTTAAAATTTTCAAACATAAAATACATGTAAAAAGGCTTCCTGGCTCATACAATCATCGAGATTATGATGAGTTCAGAAATACATGAAACCTGAAATTGTAAACAAGCATCCCTATGGCTGACATTAGGATTAACTGATGAAAAAAAAGTCTGATAACAGTTGTTGTTCAATGGTTAATTAAGATTGCAGTAGTTTAGCTCAACTTGATCACAATAAGAATAAAGATAATGCTGGGATAAACATGAATAAGCAAGCAGAAAGCCATTAAAATGTTTATTTCATTCTAAAGAATACATTTTGCAGTGAAGAAGTTCAAACTTCAATTATAGACATACTAAAACTACTCAGAACAAGCAAAACCGTCACACCCAGATTACAGAAATAAAGAACCGGTTGAATTGTATCAGAAACAGGATTGTTGCAGTCACTTTTGGATTTATTCCACAGCTTCTCCTTTTGATTGGCGGTGGACCTTCTGGATTACATGATTTGGCTTTGGATTGTAGAATTTTGAAATTATTCTTCACAATTGAATCACTATTTTGAGATGGTGGACGCTTGACTTTGTGGAACTGTAGCAGAAAACTAAACCAGGCTCTTGCAAGCTTTCCTGGATGGAGGTATTTGCGTGTGGTATTTATGGTTTTTGCGCTAGCAGTATAGTATTTATCCTAGCAGAGAGCTTCGAGAATTCAGTAAGAGTTGGATGATGGTGTAGGTTGAGAGGATTAGCCTATCTTTTATTTTTTCCTCCAGCTTCGAATAAGAATTTAGGATTTAATTCAAACTTGGATTAAAATGATCCTATGATAACCCTATACACTCAATAGATGTTATGAGGCATATAATTAAAAACTTCGGGCTTCAATTAAAGTTATTTTTAGTTTCAATATTATAAGTCAGTTGGATGTCTGATTCCCTAGAGTGCAGTACAAATCCTAAAACCAAATTCAAAATGAACAGTTACCACCTTGCACCGACAATAGCCCCAATTTTTCTTCCCAGTGATTTTGTAAAATGTTCTAATTCCACTCCATAAGTTAATACAGTTTTGCTTAGTATTCTTAATTTCTTTCAAAAATTGACGCAGCAAAAATCAATTTGTGAAAATTAAAGACAAATGTCCGCATTTTATAGCTTAAAAATTTTTCAAGGTTATTTTGATCATGCCAATATTAATTGGGTTCTAATTTAAGTATTGCTTGCTTACATTTAAAGAAATCAAGCGGCTAAACTATTTGGTGAAATGTAAATTGTAAATCAACAATTTTTTTTTTTTACATGCAAGAGTGCAATATTGGGTCAAACATAAAATCTTAACCAAATCTAACAAAAAAATTTGGTTCAGCTCAAACCATGAAAGATTCATGCTAGATTTGGGTCAACTTATGAGACTTATAAGAAAAAAATGTACCCAGACCATATCACAATCAAGTCAACCCACAAACATTTGAATCTTTATTAATTTAAAAATCATAATAAATTGAACTTATTTTTTTATTTTTTTAGCTGTGCCCAAATTAAGTAATCATATCCATTTTGAGTCAAGTTAACAGAGCACAACATGAATTAAGTGTTTATAATATCGTGAGATCAATCTCAATTTAGGACTTTAGGCTCATTTAATATATGGATAAAGTTAAAGCTGACTATCTACAAATTCAGCCATATTTTGTCGTTCCCAAACCCAACCCGCTAACCCAAATTAACACCCCTATAAGCATGCATTCATAATAAGTGTTGTGAGAATTGTAAAATAGAAACCGTTGCCCTGAGTCGTCATCAAGATTCTACAATATGGCAAAATATTCCTAAGAAATAGGATAAATTATCGAGGTATCTTAACAGGTCGTAAAGGGTGGGAAATTTAACAATGTTGCTTTTGATGAATTGTTAAACAAATAGAATCAAATCAATGATGATCTATGAAACGTGGACACTTAAAATTGTCTCTCCTCCGTTTCAAACAAGCTTCAAACATAAAGACAGCTCCGAAACACCCAAACACATGCTCAAAGCTATGTAAGAAATGTTTCAAAGCCAAAAAACAAAGTTGAACAAAAGCCAAACACAACCCACAACAGGGGGAGTGAGCTGTACAGGATGTATATGGGAAATGTCAAACATGAATACATCTCTGAACCAACCCAACATAGTTTGAAGAGCACATTGGTATTGCTCTTTCTGTTATCTCTAAATCTAGAATAGTTGTTGTTTTGGGTTGTGGTTACTTAAATTATGAAACTATGGCAGGATGTTACGCTTGCCTCTTGACGGATCATGAATTTGTGGTATTTACATGTGTTCTAAGACGAGAAGTGATACACTTGTACTAACAAAGGCCTTTAAGAGTTCAATAAGAGTTATTTGAGATTCTTTGATGGCGTTGGCTAATGGGATGAAAGTGTTTGGCTTCTTTGAGATAAGAATTTAGGATTTAATTTAAACTTAGATTCAGATGATCCAATGCCAACATATCTATAAGTCTATATGTAAGTGTTTTGAGACATGTTATCAAAAAAAATTTGGGTATGTAAAAAGATCTATTTCTATTTTAAATTTTGCAAGTGCAAGTTTGATGTGTGATTTATTTGAGAGTTGTACAAATGCAACTATTAAATTCAGAAGAAGTCATCTCCATGCACCCGCAAGAGGCCAAATTTTTCATATCCTGATATTGCTTTTAATTGCTTCATTTCATTTACATAATTTGAAATGAATTTGCTCAGTCATCTTGATTTTGTTCAACAATGGACGCATCACAAATCCATTTCATATAAATTGAATTCAAATGTCTTTTGAAATCCTTGTTGATATTCTCGTATTATTCAATCAAATCATATTTCAGCTCAAGAATTGCTTGTTCATATTTATATTTTTGTGACTTCTAAAATTTGAATCCTCAATTTTGTTTGCATGTATTCATATTACTCACATAATTGTAATACGGACACTCTCATCCAGAGTTGTCATGTACCAATATCAATTCATTTTGAATGAAGACACAAGAAAAAGGCCAAACTCAATAATTTTTGAAATGACGAAGCTTGCTAGAATGTGTTCAGTTAAGCCTGAATAGCCTCTCACACACATATACAAACATATGTATATCACCATAGAACTACGCACAAATTTATGCAATTAAGTAGAGATGTTGGCACAACTAAAGCCCAAACTAGAACTTCAATTTAGTTCAAGCAATGATATGGGCTTGTCAGTGCACGCAAAGCTGCATGAAAGTAAATTGTGTTAACAAAAAATTAACTGATTAAAGTCATCGAAGTTGAGGTTCATCAAGTTCATATAAAGTTCAACCAGCCCAGAGCCACACCCGACAACTTAAAATTTGAGTTTTGGATATCGACAATTCAAACTTAATTTCTTAACACATCTATTAACAAGGTTAGATAGGCAAGAAAATCAATTCATGAATTGTAACGGACTAGTCAACAATTGCATAATCATGAGTTTGCTAGTGCCTTCCTTAATGCAAGAGATGTCTTCAGAATAATTATTATTCTCTTACTTGTTAAGGCATGTGAAAGCATTGATTTAGCCTCACATCAAATAATTGAAGAAGGTGTTGACATTAAAATACGACATTATTGGACCTCACTCAAAATCTACATTTTTGGATTGAAAATAAGATTGACCATTAATATATCCGACCAAACTGTGGTAATCCTCAATTATTTAATCCCTATAAAGTGCTATCATGACAGATGATTTGACTGAATCGAATGGTTAACTCCCAGAATGACTACATGTTATCGAGCGAGCACTTAATGCACGATGCTTGATAATACTGCAAAGCTATCATTTAACATAATTGATGGACAATGCACAGTGCATTAACTTGAAAAGAAGATTGTTATGACATGTGAGAATATCATGTCTAGTTCGATGTCAAACATTTGAAAAATATTTTGGATTAAAATATCAAGTGCCTGGCCCTTAGTCATTAGCATAAGCTATTGGGTTGAATACAGGTTTAATCACTGGTATATCAGGTTCTTTAACTTCAATCGATGTACAATACCAAACTTTCTTTTATTCAAAGTCCCATGTCCCCGCCAAAAGTATTTTGGCTTTACCACCTTATTAATGGAAACTAGCTATGTTTTTTTACTAGTAAAACACTACAAATCACACAAGCTTTAATAGAAAGTATATAAATTCTAACTTAGAAATAGAGTGCTCAAGCTGATGCCCAGGCTCTTCCAATCTCAACTAACATAATCCCAATAGCATCTGCATGTCTCAAAATAAACATATTCCTCAAAGCTTTCCAAATTTTGACTATTTTGAAAACCAAGGTAAGAAAGGACTTGAAACAACTTAAGAAAATATAAATAACAAAATCCCTTTAACTCATAATCATGCCATTTTGAACTTAGCCTATGAAAATTTTAATATTACTAGTTGTAAGAGATGAAAAGATCACATAAACGCTAAGCTCCCATCTAGCAAGAAGCTAATGGTGGTTTTTGAAAATGGATAAACCTTATAATTCTCTGGTCTACTACGAAAAAAAATTATTTGAAAGAAGAATCTAGTATCTTGGAGTGTAATTCATTTTTTTTATCTCTTGTTGCATCTAAGTTGTGTCACACAATCTTTAATACTATGTCTCCGTCTTATGGTAATCAAATGAATTTATCTAATTGAACATTGTTCAAGAAATTTAAATCATGACTAGTGCTATGGATAACCCATCGGACACCTTGTTGGGCTTATTACAATTAAATTTATTCTAATAAACATTTTAAGCATTATTAAACGATTGTTTGATTATCACTTCTGATCGCTGGTATTCAATTTCCACGCAAGAGTTTTGAATTCAAATTTTCCAAAAAAAAGGACAAAAGTATGTTTAACACCATTTCAAACAAACAATTAGAGATTCTTGAAATTAAAAACCAAGCTTGCC